CTGAGAGCGGTGAAAGGAGCTTGTTTCTGTTCCCCATCCTAGAGCATACTTCTCCATTTTGTTGGCTCAGTGTTCCTATCACAAGCCTGGAAAGCACTTTGTGGCTTGGCAGGGGTTGGGGACTGGGCTGGCATGCAGCTCCTCTTGGAAAGGGTTTGCCAGGTTTCTCCACTGTGGCATAATCTCCATGACACAGTGAGGCAGATTTGGGGTGTAGTGTTACAGTAGCTGCCAGTTGATAAGCTGTTATTTGTAAAGTAGAACAAGCAGGATTCCACCCCGTCCCTTTTGGTGAGAATATTTAAAACTAATTAAAAAAAAATGTTTTAAAAACAGTGAATATTTTCTTTTTTCCCACTTTCTTGCACTTTTCCATTTTGAATTTCATGGTTTCATTTTCTTTCATCCTTTTCTTCCAGTACTCAAGCTTATCTGCCTTTTGCCAGTCCTGTTCTTCGGCAAGTACTTGTTTATGTCAGTGGGCACAAAAGAGTGTTCCAACTGCCTTGTTTTCTCCCTAGTGGAAAGGTAAAGATAGCTCTAGTTTGAGCATGTGACACACAGAACAACCTTTCCTACGTTGCTGGGGTGTTCTCCTGAGTTCAGACCCGGGTTTGGACTGTAGGATGTGAACCCAGACAGACATACTCCATAGCTCTTGCTCTTAAACCTTAAATTAGTGACTCTCCACTGGAGAGACATTCCTGATTGTCCTAAGATGCAGGGGAGAGGGAGGGTTACTGGCATCAAGTAGTATCAGGGATACTATCAAACATCCTGCAGGACATGACAGTCCCTCAACAAAGGGCCATCGCCCCCAGTGTCATAGTGCTGAGTTTGAGAAACCTTGTTCTGAATGATCTGTCTCCTGGTAATGTTTGTTTTCTTTGAGCCCTGAGAAAGAGGGGGAACTAGTTTACCTTTAACCTTAAACCCTGTAGATTCTCTCTGTCGATATACTAAAATGTACAGTTGTCTCTCCCTGTCCATGGGGGATATGGTCAAGACTCAGAGTGGATGCCCGAAGTCACAGATGGTGCCAGATCTCCCACTGTCTTTCCCTCTGCCTCTCTCGCTCTCGCTCTCTCTCTCTCTCTCTCTCTCTCTCTCTCTGTCTCACACACACACACACACACACACACACACACACACACACACACACATTGTTTTTTCCTACCCATATATATGAATGTATCATAAAGTTTAGTTTGCAAGTTAGGCAAAGTAAAAAATTAACAATAAATAGTAATAGAAATAGACTGATTCTAACAGTATACTGTATTAAAAGTTACTTAAGGCTTATAAATTGTTAATTTCTGGAATTTCCCATTTAATATTTCCATGACTAAATTGAACCATGGGTAAAAAGCGACTACTGTTTCTGTGTGGTATTTTTTTTTTTAAATAAGGCATGCAAGTAGAGAAGGTGTTGTAATGGAATGATTGAAAGAATCCAGTATCTGAGAACAAAGAACTCAATAAACATTCTTTTGGTGCTAGAAGCAACTCTAATCTTGTGAGAAAAAAAACTACAAAAAAGGAGAGCAGTTCTGTCCAGGGTGCTATTGTAGCCCCAAAGTGGTCTGCTGGTTTCATGTGTGTTCGTAACCCATCCTTACCCTGTTCAGACTTGGTCCTGATGGTCAAAGGTCCTGAGTTGACCCTTGACTGTGCTTTTCATGGAAACATGGTTGAGGGTGGAAACTAGCATTTTCTAGAATATTGAAACCTGTGTGAGAAACCACCTGCAGAAAATTTCCCTCTGACAGCCCTCAGGATCCTTCTGCACAGCTACGGGAACCACTGTGAAGGTCTTGTGGCTTGGGGAGTCTCTGAACTCAAGAAGAAAACGTAAGAAACTGCGATAAAGGAAATAGAAGAGCTCATTTCTGGGTTCTACATATATATATGTATAGCTTCTTGTTCAATTTGTTGAACTTTTGGGTAGTTTTTTTTTTTTTTTAAGGCTGAGGATTGAGCAGATGCTAAGTGAGCACTAGCACTGAACTGTACCTCCAGCCCTCATTTCATTTTTAATTGCTTCAGATTTTACCAAGTAGAGGTTTATTTATATTAGTTAAACTCTAAAAATAGTGCAAGGGTTAAGGAGTTATTTTTTTGCTTTGGTAAAAAACATGTAACAAAATTTATCATCTTTACCATTTTTAAGTGCATAGTGCAGTAGGAATTTCATTTTTTTTAATGCCTCAGTTATAGTGATGCACCACACTGACTGTTTTCTACCATAGCTGAAGTAGGCTTCATTTGCGTGCTGGCCGATTCACTTAACAAATATTTGCGTGCTTACCACCTACAAGATAGAGCAGGAATGCTGTTTTGTTTTCATCACAAACAGAAACTCGTGATAATATTTTTCTAATTATAAGATGTGCTTGTTGCCAAGTTCAGAAAATACATAATCACTCAGAATCCTACAACTCTGTTAACCACTGGTGATATATTGGTATATCCTTCTAGATTGTTTTTTGTTATCGTCTTTGCTGATCTATGTCTTGTTATATTTTTATCCCAAATACTACCATACCCTATGCTGTCGTGTTATACAGTGGCAATATCTCTCCGTGGCAGTCAGTTTTTGTGTGTAACTGGAATAATCATTTTGGTGGTTGTGTCATATTCTATAATATGGATCTGTCATAATTTAATCAGTACTCTTTTCATTGATCATCTAGGTTTCCTTTCTCAAACAACATGTAGGCAGTCATCAATATAGTTATTTTTGTTTTCTTGCTTAGTAAGGATAGAAATAAGGTCCCTGGTTCACTGATGCCTTCCCAGTAATGAACCCTGTGCATAGTAGGCATGAAATTTAATAAATACTGAGTGAATGAGTGGCCTGGTTATTTCCATAGGATTGGGAGTGGGACTTTTAATATGGAGCTTGGGTCCTGGGTGGCTGAGCTACTTGGTGTAAGGTTTAATAGAAGTCATCCAGGTCCCCGTGGTCAGAAGTTGCATGGCAGAGAGGAAGGGACATTGTGTCCTCAGATATGTTGAGTGCTTACTGTACATAGCAGGAAAGAAAAAGTGCTTTTTTCCTTACTTTCTCCTTCTAGCACAACTGGTCACCCTTCTGGAAAAAACAAAGTTTGAGGCTGACTTTAGGCTGTTCTAATCTCCTGTTCATTCTCTTATAAAAAGGAAGTAGAGCAGAATGACAGTCATCCAGATTTAAATCCTGGCTCTGTCACTTACCAGCTCTGTGACCTTAAGTTGCCTAAACTCTCTGAGCCCGCTCATCCCTGTTAAATAGGAGTGATAATAATAGGTAATATTAATAGTATTTGAACCTTGCAGAAAATAAGAGATTAATAAGTGTTAACTACTCTTAATTAATCATACTATATATTAAGTAAGCCTGAATAAGTTGCCTTGTATTTGTGTGGGATAAATCCACTGTAAGCTCCAAACCAGCCAACTCCCTAACACAGATGTACATGGAGTTTTCTATGGCACAATCATTTTGTGAATTAGGGGCCACCTGCAATGGCACTATTTGTGCAATAAGACACTCCTTTATTGACAGAGCTATTTTTGTTCTTCTCCTGACTTTTAAGTCCTATCATTTCATTGCACAGCTATCAATAAAGGACAGTACCTGGCAGTATGGTGGCACCCCCGCGCGCCCCCCCCTCCCCCCACTGCTCTCTTTTAGTGGGATAAGCTCTGTATAAGTGGGAAGCTGTGTCTGAGTTTGGGGTAGAGAGACACAAGCTGAAAATGTTGGCTGTGGGTTCAGAATTTCAGTGAACGTTGCTATTCCAAGCAGATCAAATCACTCGTTTCCTCTCTGCTGACCTTAGGGGGATGCATAGGTAACCCTAAAGCAGGAAGGAAAGTGGGGCTGGCTCAGGACAGTGGCATTGTGCATTATTGAAAGATGCAGAATCTAGATAAGGTTACAGCATAGAGAACATTGTCTTGGGTTCAGTTTTATGTCTTCTATAAAATTTTTCTTTGCTTTCCTTTATACCGTAACCCTCTAGCATGCTCAAGAACACCAGGGCTTCACTAATGCTAGGCGAGCTCTCTGTCACTGAGGGACCCTGCCCTCAGCCAGGATTATCATTTTTAAAGCTAACAAAAAATGTCTCTGTGTCTTTCCTCAGCTCTGCTAGAGCTCCTGTGTTTGCAGAAGTTGGGAAAACGGACTGAGGAAAGGGTGGTGTAAGATTTGAAGATTTCTTTCCTTTTAAGTTCTGACTTAATTTAGACATGCAAGCCGACTTAGCTACCCAGAACTCATTGCTGAGGGCAAACCCAAGCACTGATCTGAATCACAAATGTTTGGAATCATTCTTCTTGTGACAGAGTGTCCCAGGCACTCCTTGCCTCTAAGTGGAATGAAGGGGATGTGTTGCTGGGGCCATTTTCATGCTGTGAATTACCATGCCACTGTGTGACACCATGGAGAGCAGAGAGCACATAGCACCAAGGTGGTGCTCCAGCACCTGGGATGCCAAAGGACATTTGGCTGCTCCACTTCTGAGCTCTTTCCTCTTTGATCCATTTTTCTCTCCATCTTGCTTTGGGGTTGACTCTGTGTGAGCCAACTGCTTTGTTTTTCAGCTTTTTTTTTTTTCCTTTTTTGCAGTGCTGGAGATGGAACCCAGGGCTTTTGCCCATGTTAGGCAAGCGCTCTGTCACTGAGCTATATCTCTAGCCTTTGGTTTTTTTGAGACAAGGTTTCACTATGTAGTTCAGGCTGGCCTTGAACTCAATGTGTAGACCTGGCTGGCCTTAAACTTATGATCATCCTGCCTCAGCCTCCTGAGTGCTGGGATTACAGGCATGTGCCACCACGCGTAGTGTGTCCCATTACCTCTTGCAGGGAGGAAGAATGTGGCACAGATGCTATTATTCTTTCTTCCTGTGCTGCTGGCCAAGTTCTTGGTGATCACTGCCTGTTCCAGCAGCCATTAGAGTCAGGTGGATGAGATCCACCATCCATTGTTTACCCAGTCTCCTTCAAATTACAGGTGAGGAAAGCCAGGACCCAGAGCTGCTGGAGTTAGAATCCAGATTCTCTGGTCTTAGACTCTTAGACTTTTGCCACCAGTCTGTCCTTTCTACTTGCTGTGGACTTCAGAACCTGGTAGTCAGGCCTTCAGAACTGTAAAAGAAGACTTGAGAGGGAGAGAGAAGGACTCATATGAGTAAGTACATGTTGTGTGTGTGCCCTGCTTATTCAGTGACACCTGTTGGCTTTCTTCCTGATGCTTTGCTGCTTCCATTTACTGGTGTTGGTCAGCTGGGATCTAGGTAATGAAGGTATTATGCTTTTTTTTTGTTTTGTTTTGTTTTTCATAACAGTAGTACCTGCCGTCACTCCCAGCCCTAGCTCATGGTTCTGTGAGCATTTTATCACAGGTCTCTAGCAGTTCTTGCAGGATATGCCTGTGAGGTCAGGGAGGGAGACTGGTGCTCACTTTTTGTGGAATGTGTGTTTGAGCAATGCACTGCTCCTTGGCTAAAAGAAGGGAGAAAACAGTGAGGGGGAGCCCAGGCCTCAGGTAGTACTAAGCAGCTGGCTTATCTTTCATTTTGACTCTTTGCCCAAGCAAAGATGAAGACCTTTTATTTCTGAAGCCTTTGCTATGTGTGAAGAATGAAGAACAGAATTGAGATGGGGGTGGGGAGGGAGTGACTTTGGGGACAGTTACTGGTTTTTTTTTTTTTCTAGTGTATTGGGGGAGGGGAAGGTTCTTCAGAAGGAAAGAAAATCATGTAAGTCCACACAACATTTGCAAGTGCTTTTATAGCAGTATGTTTAAACCTTGTTGATTATCTGAAGTTGTCAGATTTCTCTTTTATTTTTATTTTTATTGTAAGACTGATGCATGCACATGGTAAAAATCTGAGCAGATAGAAATAAGTATCTCCTTTCCTTCCCCACACGTAGGTCCATTCCACAGATGATCAACGAGTGGGTGGTCTCGTATCTCTCCACATGCCCCCCATGTGCCATATGCAGACTATGTCAGGGCATGTGGCCTTTGTTAGTTGGCTGGGGCTGCCAGAATATAAAGTATCAACAACTATGGGGCTTAAATAACAGAAGCTGAATCTCTCACTTCTGCAGGGTAGAAGTCTTAAGAGCAGACTTGCTCTCTTCTGGGCTTGTCTTTTTAGCTTATAGATGGCCACCTCATGTGGTGGTCCCTCTGTGAGTGTCTGTGTCCTCATCTTCTTTTCTTACAAGGATACCAGTCATTGGGTTAGGGACTGTATCAGTGAGCTTATTTAACTTTAATCACTCCTGTCTTCACATAAAGTCACATTCTGAGTACTGGGAGTTAGCACTTCAACATAGGAGTTTTGAGGAGACATGTTTGGGCTCATTAAAAGAATAAGCTGACTTATTCTTTTAACAATGTTCCATTGCATAGATAGCCCATAATTCATTTGACGTTAGTCCCTGTAAAGCTGGAGAATAAGGCTTTTTCCAAAATCTCTGGTCTTTGTGAAAATGTATCTGCAGGATGAACTAGAAGGATTATAAGCATTGCCCTCCAGAAAGATTGTCTGGCTCCCTTTTTTTTTGGGAGGTCTGTGTTGGGGATTGAACCCAGGGTGCTTTGTGCCTGCTAGGTAACCACTCTGCTGCTGAGCTGTACTCCCAGCCCTTCTTACTCCCTTTGGCATATGTAACAGTTTCTTATGGAAACAGTAGCTACAAATTTCAGCCCTAATCCTCTTTGTGATCTAATGCTGGTGAGAGACTCTGAGTGCAGCTGGTGGTTTGTGGCCTTGGCCCCAGGGAGTGGGATTGCCAATGAGTGCTTTGTTTGAGCATTGCCATCATGACTTTACCATATATTATTCATTCAGTTTCCATTTATTCAGGCAAGGATGGGCAGGCATCGTTTTGTTCATTTATTATGATTAACTTTCAAAATTTAGCAGAAGACACAGAGATGTCCCATACATAGTCTGCCCTCACACATGTACATCCTCCCCCATGATGAACACCCTCCGCCAGAGTGGTACGTCTGTTGCATTTGGTGAACCTACATAGACATCTTCATCTTTCAAAGTCTGTAGTTTACATTTAGGTTCACTGATAAAGCTGTACGTTCCATGTTTATTTGTTTTTTAAGCCCTGACTTACCTGGCAAAAGGCTTATGCCCGCTGGAGCCAGGTTACAGCAAGATGCTGGCTCTTCTCTCCACACTTGTGGCAGTCCTGGAGTATGGCCGTCCAGGAACTGATTTCTAGTTTTGAAGGTGATCAGGATGAGCAACATGTTCAGGGTGATGAAGCTGTAAGTGGCAGGGGCTGGATGGGAACTTATTTTATTCTAAGTTAATGATCTTCCAGAAACATGTAGCGAGTCGGCATGACTGCAAGATTTTCCTGGAATGCTAACATTAGCATTTCTCTTGTGGATACTGTTTTGAATTTCCACCTGGTGCATGTATCAGTATCTAGCTGAAGATAGTGTGTTTGTTCCCTTACTTATTGGCAGTTTGTTTTGAAGAGTAACTTTTGGGCTACTAGAGGGAGGCTATGTTGAGTTGTAATTAATTTGAAATATGTGTGTGTACACACACACACACACACACACACACACACCTTTATTATTTCTTTTTATATTAGTTCTGGGTTTAAACCTTTAAACCCACTGGTGCATATACTAAGCAAGTGCTCTAACCCAGCCCATCTCACACACACACACACACACACACACACACACACACACACAAACACAGACTTTACATATTTTTGCACTCACTATATAATAGAGTACTCTATACAATAGAGTAAAAGTGAAAAATAAAAAATTTGATCCATATAATGACATAACTTGGTGATGGAGTATGTCTTTATTATTTTCACACTTACCATAGTCACATCCTTTCTTCACTTTTTTTTTTTTTTTTTTTTGAAGTTCTGGGGTTTGAACTCAGGGTTTGCTAGGCAGGTGCTCTACCACTTAAGCCACTCTCCAGTCCCCTTCTTCACTACTTGTCTGCCTTTAAATGTGTATATCTAACTCATTTTCCTTTCTGAGGAGATAATAAGTTTAAATATTGATTCTACAGTGGGAAAGTTCTAGTGTGGGAGGTATTAACTATGTGTTAGCTTTCTATTACTGTAACAAGTATCTGAGATAGTGAACTAACTAGTGAAGAGAAAAGGTTTGATTTGGCTCATAGCTGTGGAGACTCTGAGCCGTGATTTGGTGGCCCTGTTGCTTTGGGCCTGTGATGAGGAAGCACATCAGGATGGAAGTATATGGTGGAGCAAAACTGCTCACCTCATGGCTGGGAAACAAGGGAGCAAGAAGGGAGCCAGGGGCTCAATCCTCATCAATCACCTGAAGACCTCTCACTGGGCTTCACCTCTTCCAGTTTATAAACCATGCTGGGGACCAAGCCTAACCACATAGACCTTTGGAAGGCACTTAAGATCCAAATTATTCAGACCACTTCTTAAATATTTCTTTTTTCCAAATAGGATAAGTATTTTTTTTTAAAATAACATTTGAATTTGAAGTACAGTAAGGCTGGTTACCTAAGACCCACATGGCTTAAAGAGCAACCAGTGAAGGAGGAAGTTGGGAAAGGTTTCAGACAGGCGGCAGAGAAGGAGGGACGAAGGGCACAGAAAATCAAGGTGCTGGGGAGAATTTGTGTGTCTGTGTGTCTAAAATTTTGCCACGTGAGTGGAAAGAAGTCAATAAAACTGGAGATCAAAAGTATGGATGAAAATACAGTCAGTAGTGTTAGGATCTGTCTTGTGTGATCCATTGACTCAGCCCAAGTAGAATATCTTCTTTTACAAAGCAGTGATGTAGTCTTATGAGTCAAGAGAAGTCTTTTGAGAAAGATGGCTTGGAAAATTGAACATAAGATGGGGAAGGGACACCAAATTTTGAAGTGGGGAAATAGTACTGAATGACAGAGGGCTCAAACAGTGGCAGTTTCCATGAAGTGAGTGAGACAGCGTGGGAAATGACTAGGTTTCTAAGCTCTTCTACACCATTGTAATTTGCCACCTTACTGTATACCTATGATCTAGACTCGTTGAACACCATGTTTATGATACAGCATTCTAACTGATGCTTGTGTTGAAGCCTTGCACAGTCCCAAACTTCCTTCCACTTCATTATCATGATACTGAATTGTTAGGACTTAGGTTTACTATAGAATACAGTGTTGGCACACACGTTCAGTTATAATGTGCAGCTCATGGTAATCTCTTTTGTAGATTAATGGTTAATGGAGCTCCTTCCCTGATGGTAGGTGTATCCAGCGAGGTCATCTGAGTATCCAAGAGATTATAGCATAAGCCTGTTACCACCTGTACTTTATAAATGAGAAGACCGAGTCTTGAAGGGGTAAATAACTTGTTTCTGGTCCACAGCTAGTAGGTGGGAAAGTCTGGCCACAAACCCAGATAGGCTGACCTTGAGCCTGAGCTGGTAACCATTGTGCTCTACCACCTTGTGCTTTAAGACCTATCGTTAAAAGACATGTCTGCCGTTAGTGGTACAGCAGGAGCTGGAAACTCACCAGTAGGCTTACCCATGAGGCTGTGGTAAATACTGCATGCGGAGGAGGCACCTGACCCTTTTGAACTTCAGGTTTTGGACAGGTGGATGATCGAAGGCACAGCATGTCCTACGTGCTCATCCAGTTCCTTCTTTGGCTCCAGATTTGGCAAGTTCTGTTCTTGGGCCCAACTTCTTATTTTTCATGTGCCTTCCTTATTTTGTCCTTTTTCTAGTTCTTGGCTCTTTTTCTTGCCCTTAGACAATCTCAGGGATCTTTGTTTTGTCTAAGATTAATGATCGTGGTACTTCTGAGGAACTGTGCCTTTCCTATTTATTATTGGCTATCTCCCAAACCATTAATACTCATCACTGAAGATGGTATCAGACCACTTCTGGCGAAAGCTCTGTCACACTCTTAACTCTTCTTCATGCCCTGTGGCAGGGTGCCTCAAAGGGTGGTCAGCTTGTATCTTGGAATGTTGACTTGCCAGCAGCTGGGGTGAATATGTATAAAATAATGGCTCAGTATGTGATGCCAACTTGGTCTCCTGAAATTTAATTCTAACTACGCAAGTTTAATGCAGACCCCACCGGTTAAGGGCTCAGTACCACAAGATTATCACCATTTCAGATGCCTGTCATAATTTGTCTGACTGGATGAAAATCAGGGTTCCTGCTATCCCCTCTTTGGGTTTTGTAATTTGATAAAATAGCTTACAGAACTCAGGAATGCTCTTTACTTAAATTTGCCTGTTTATTTTATTTTATTTTTTTTTCATTTTTCTTTTATTATTCATATGTGCATACAAGGCTTGGTTCATTTCTCCCCCCTGCCCCCACCCCCTCCCTTACCACCCACTCCGCCCCCTCCCTCTCCCCCCCTCAATACCCAGCAGAAACTATTTTGCCCTTATTTCTAATTTTGTTGTAGAGAGAGTATAAGCAATAATAGGAAGGAACAAGGGTTTTTGCTGGTTGAGATAAGGATAGCTATACAGGGCATTGACTCACATTGATTTCCTGTGCGTGGGTGTTACCTTCTAGGTTAATTCTTTTTGATCTAACCTTTTCTCTAGTACCTGTTCCCCTTTTCCTATTGGCCTCAGTTGCTTTAAGGTATCTGCTTTAGTTACTCTGCGTTAAGGGCAACAAATGCTAGCTAGTTTTTTAGGTGTCTTACCTATCCTCACCCCTCCCTTGTGTGCTCTCGCTTTTATCATGTGCTCAAAGTCCAATCCCCTTGTTGTGTTTGCCCTTGATCTACTGTCCACATATGAGGGAGAACATATGATTTTTGGTCTTTTGGGCCATTGCCTGTTTATTTTAAAAGATACAAATGAACAGTCAGGTGAAGGGGTATACAGGGAGAGGCCCAGAAGGATCCCAGATCCAGGAACATCCATTCTCATGGATCATATCCCCTTCCTGGCACATGGGTTCAGTCGTCAACTTGGAAGCTGTAAATCCCATTGATGAGGGTTTTGATGGAGATTCCATTATGTAGACATGATTGATGAAATCATTAACTCAACTTCCAGTTCTTTCCCCAGAAATGGGGGGAATGGGTGGGGCTAAGTTGCCAACTCCCTAAGTCAAATGGCTGATTTCCTCTGGCAACCAGCCCCTATCTTAAAGTGACCTGGGGATCACTAGCAGTCACTTCATTAGCATAAATTCAGGTTTGGTTTAAAGGGGCTTACTATAAATAGCGCAACACACTTCTCCTACCCCATCACCCTGGAAATTCTAGTGGTTTGAGGTGAAGACCACATATATATTTCTTGTTAAATTACAAGATCACTCTTTGAGAGGATGTTTGTGTCCTTTTCTAGTTGGCCTGCTGCTGTGGGTCTGCAGGCTGCTCCCTCTGCTGTGGCTGTTGCCCCAAGATCCGACAGTCGAGGTCCACCCGCTTCATGTACGCACTCTACTTCATCCTGGTCGCCATCCTCTGCTGCATGATGATGTCACCAACTGTGGCTAAGCAAATGAAGGAGCACGTAAGTTTGCCTCTGCAGCTCTTCCTCTTGATGATGTTCGATGAAGGTGTGTGGTAAATACATGATTTAGAGGTTGGGGTCCTGTGCCACCATGGTTTGTGGTACACTTGCTCTCTCTGAACCTTTCTGGCCAAGCAGACAAGCTGTTTAACAGCTTCATCTTTAGTAGTGGTATAGAAGCAATCTGATGTTTTTTGGTAGGGAATGTTTATACCAGAGGGTTGTGGGTTTGTCTTCCTTTGTTTATAGCGGCTTCTGATGAAATGGATAGGCTTTTCTTATAGACCTCTGCACTTTTTCCCTCATCATAAGGATAGCTGCCAGTATTTCAAGTAGGAGCTATCATAAACACTTAAATTGGCCTGCATGGGAAGAATGATACAGCTTAGGTAGTTCTGCTGAGTGGGCTCTAGGGTGAGTTTTAACCTTTCTGGGAAGATCACTTTGAGGGTGGTATCTCTAGTGGGGAGAGTGGATTTCCAGCCATGTCTTGGGCAGTGTGTGCAGATGTAGGCCATGCTTCTGATGCTCATGGAGACAAACATAAGGACCCTTTCCTGGGATTTCCCCCTTCTACCATTGTGTGTCTCCTGATCAGTTTGGGAGAAGAGGGTGGTTTGTGGTGTGGTGTGGTTTCAAGAACTCCAATAAATAATGGCATTCTTCCTCTCCTCAGTTTTGAACAAAGAGATTAAAATGCCAGCAGACAGATGACAAACATAAAGTGATAGGAGACAATGTGGCTTTATCTGCAGTGAGGTGGGCTTCCTCCTCTCAACCCCTAAATGAGCCAGCCTGATCCAAGCTGGCATCATCAGCATGGATCAGGGCAGACTTCATCTGCCAGGACACAGTTGGCTGGGAAGAGAGCAGCAGTGTGTTGGTGAGGGCAACTCTTCTCCCAGGAAAAGCAAGACAGAAAAGTATATCTATCCAAACCCCACTTCCCCTAGAAACTTAGCACTTAGCCTTGCATTCTCCTGGGGCTGACCAGTGAGGAGGTGGAGAGAAACCAGAAGAAGGCTGTAATGTCACTGCGTGTCCTGCACGGTGAGAACAGCCTTTGCAGGGCAACTCCTGGGGAAGCTGTCTCCCCAACCTTGTGCTCAAACTATGACTGTTTTATACTCAAGTTGTTTAAAGCAAACATTCTCTTTATTTCTTTTTTCTCTCTCTCTCTCTTTTTTTTTTTGCAGTGCTGGGGATTAAGCCCAAGACCTCACACATGCCAGGCAAACACTCTTCTACTAAGTAATACGCTAGCCCAAAACAACCATTCTCTTAAAAGCAATAAGTATGTTTTTATCCATTAGTTAGAGTAGGCCCTTTGAATCATTTGGTTGAGTGATGCATTTATGACTGTAGTTGTATGGTCTTGAATATAGTAGAAACTATTGTCAAAACCTGTGAAATTTGGATTCTCTAATTGCTTTAAACTCAGGAAGGCACTGGAGTGGGAGCTATGGTATGTTCAGATGAGAAATGAAGCTAGTCATTCAGAAGAGAAGATATGGACTCCCCTGAGGCTCCAATTAGGTAGAAGTTAATAATTGCTGGATAGGAGTGAAAGTTTGCTTTCATTCTGCTGTGAAAGTTTGGAGACAGGGAGGGCAAGGATTCATGCTACCTTTTGGGCTTATACCAGGCCTGGTTCCGTATCCATGTGTTTGCCTCTTATTCTAATCATGGCTTAACCTAATATGTTTGTGGCAAGAAGTTCTAGAACTAGAATACTGAAGGGGGTAGATTTTGACTCTTAACTATGAAGGTCTACTTAATCTTCCATTTACTACTTGTTTGTTTTTTGCTCTGCCGAGAATTGAATCCAGGCCCTCACACTTGCCGTGCAAGTGCTTTACCTCTGAGCTACATCTCCAGCTCTCCATTTACTACTTTTGATTGTCCAATAGTATAATGTTCTCTTCTTAAATCCAGTAAGCAGTGAGTTAATGAACCACTGTGGTTCTGTGGTGGGAACTCTGTGTCCCAGATGTCTGTGGTATGATCGCTGCTCTTAAGAAGTTTTTAGCCCTGGTAGAATTAAAGGCTTGGATCCAAAAGACAAAAATCTGTAACTATACAAATGTATATTATCTCTTAGAGGTGAAACGTTATCATTGAAGGTAGAGGTAATTTGGAAGCCTAAGTATGTGTTGTAGGAGATGAATTTCATAATTTAAACATCCAATTACCATCTAAGTAACCTGCCCAGCAAACAGTTCTTAACAATTGTAGCCAGTATGTTTTTTGACTATTGGTAGTGCATTCAAGAAATAGAAGATGCTGACTGGTATCGCGAGGGCAGGACTTATGGAAGAAGTGACTTTTGTAAATAAGTATTTTAAGAGCTGATATGTATTAGATACACCACACGCCAGATTTTATTTTATTTTTTTTTATTTTATTTTTTTTCATTGTTCTTTTATTATTCATATGTGCATACAAGGCTTGGTTCATTTCTCCCCCCTGCCCCCACCCCCTCCCTTACCACCCACTCCGCCCCCTCCCTCTCCCCACCCCCAATACCCAGCAGAAACTGTTTTGCCCTTATTTCTAATTTTGTTGTAGAGAGAGTATAAGCAATAATAGGAAGGAACAAGGGTTCACGCCAGATTTTAGTTTGGGCAGTTTATCTGTGTCTTCTTTCTTCATCACTGCTGTACTTTGCCTAACAGGTAGAAACTGTCATCTCTGCTCTGTAGATAAGGAAATGAAAGCATTGTAAGTCATTTTAGTACTTTGTCCAGGTCTCCAGCCTCTCAGTGATACAGCTGGGGAACATTCCTTGGTGGAATATGTTCTTAGCTATGGGGCGATGTGGCTAGAGAGGAGGAGAAAAGGCAAGGATAAGGCATGTACAGAATAGGTTGGAGACAGGATGGGTGAAATAACCTAATTTCGCAGGAATTTTAGTGCTGAGATGATGTGTTAGAACATGGTCTGGTGACAAATGGATTCCGAGCATCATGGAAACAGGGAGAGATTTAGGGAGGTGAGCCCTGCATGGGTTGTAAGTGTGATTTGGGGTCAGAGAGCAGATAGGAGAAGAAGGGAAGGGGCAACTCTGATGCCCACCAGGGGCTTTTGTGCCTGAATGCACTATTTAATAGTGGTTAGGCTGGGCTTCCTGCATAGGGGATGAGGTCCCTGTGGCTGAAACCAATCCTTTCCCCCCCTCGCAGGGGGAGCCATCTGGTCACAAAGTCAGCTTGTTTCTTGGCCTTGGAAGGAGGCTGACTTCATCCTCAGGCAGTGTATGAGTCTGGTGCTGAAAGATCCCCTTGTGGGATGCACACTGGGTTTCTGCTGGAGTCCTTACCCCCTTTGTTGGCCTGTGGAAATGTTTGAGGGTGAGATTGGCAGAGGGAAAAGAACTGGACTCTTGTCATGGCCTGGATGGGGGTGTGTTATTGCCTCCTACCTTGCATTCTCGCTTCTGGGAAGTGGACAGGCCCTGTCAGAGTCACATGGCTTTGGTATGTGGGTGGTGAACACCAGGGCAGCTCTTGTTCAGTTTTTCTTTGGTTTCAGAATGTGGCCTATGTGTAAGACTCGCTGAGAGGGGACTGCAGGAGATGCCAGGCCAACTTCATCTTGCTTTTCACCAGGGAAATTCCTCTTTCCCATGAAAACTTTGGTGTGCAGAAGGCTTTCCTGCACAGGTTGAACAGGGCATGGTTGCAGCCTTCTCTTCGAGAAAATTTCCCATCTCACAACATAGGAGCTACTTTTTTCCAGGCTATTCTTGCCATTCACCATGTAGTTTAAACAGGTACAAACTTGAGATATTTGCTGTCTAGGGCATTTAAATTGATTTTAGAATGTAGAACATGAAGGGAAAAAAATGAGTGAGAGAGTAAGGTATCCTGACCTGCACTGCTGCATGCAGATCTAACTGCTGGGTTTGGAGACAGAAGGGTGACAGTTGAGATTCAGGTACTCTGGAAGCTCCGTGGACATTTGGGAGGGAGAAGAAAGGAAGGTTCTTGTTTCTTAGGGAGTCAGAGCCTCTAGATCCCTGCCTGCATGGAGGGGGAAGGACAGGTGACCTGAGAGGTTCAGGCTTTCTGGGAAAGCTTGCTGTGCCCTTACGTATTCCTAACACAAAATATCCTCGATCCATTCTCTTCCTCCCATATTCCACTTGATCCCTGGGGTGCTCTGATTCATTGAGATGTCTGAGATGATTGAATTTTTTGTATTTTAAGTTTTTCAAAACCAAAACACATTACAAACTACACTGTATTGGAGTGTACATGGCATAGGAGTGCAGAATGACTTCTAATCCTGAAGACTGGTTTTTGTGGTGGTGTTTGTGTTGGTTTTAAATTTACATTGCAAAGAAGTATTCATTGTATTGAGAGGAGCATTTACTGTGACCTTTATTTTTAGTGCAATGTTTTTGTGTCCCTTCATTCCTTTCAGAAGGCATTATGTTTTGCTTGCCATCTTGTTTGGCCTCTTCTGGAAACTTATTTTATTTTTATACATTATTTTTGCCGGCGGGTTTGAGTAGTTTTTCTTTGAGTGGGTAGGTATGTAGAAGCCATACTGCCTTGGTTAGTTACTCTAGCCCTAGATGAGAAGAGCTTTTTGGTTCTTTTCAGCACAGGATGATCATGTTACAGGGTAAAATGGCTTCACGGGAACCTAGGATGGGACTGAACGGGACCCAGGTGTGAAGGGGGCTCCTGACTGCTTTCTCCTCAGTATCATAAAGCAGCTCTTCAATTCTGCTGTCTCTCTGACCTTGATAAAAGTTAGCCAGGCTGATGATTAGTACTGTCCCCACTCCCGACTCAACACCAGGGCCACAGCCAGAGATCACAGACAAGCCTAGATCAGACACTTGGCTATTCCTAGCCAAATGCACAAATTTACCTGCAGACTCTTTGTTTGGCTAGCAGATTTTTTTTTACTGTTTATATTTGACTGCCTTTAGAAGAGGCTGGCAGGCTGTAGTGAGGTCCCCAACCCTTGGTGTTTACTTGAATCATATC